TTTACCATCTTTTTTTGGAGTAGATTCGTTTTCCTGAATATAAATATTTTTATGGAAATTTTAATAGAAAAGATAAGATGAAATTATTGAATAGCAATAAATAATAGTATTATTTATAATATTATTACATCTATTATTTTTATAATTTAAATCATTTGAATTATTTCACACTATTTTTAGGAATGGGATCTCTAAAATCTTTAATATTCTTATTTTAATCTTAATTTAGTAATACCTGAAGAGTTTGAGTTTGCGGATTTCCTTCTCGATTCTCTCGATTTTCTCTTTCTCTTCTGTCATCCCTATCTCTATCTCTAATATCTCTCCTGCGATCTCGTCCTCTATCTCTCCCTCTACCTCTGTCTCTTCCATGATCCATTCTGGAGTCATTACCTTCTCTCTCTCTGTGAGATAAATGCGTCTCTCTGTCTCTTCTTTCCCTACTTTCACGATCTCTGTCTCTTTCCTTATAATCTCGATGCTGTTATTAAATGTACATCAAGTCAGACAATTTTATAGAACAATTTTATATATATTTACCTCTGCTTGTTGATTAGATTCTATTCGTTCTTCATTTTGTGACAGTTGCTGTTCAGACAAATTACTTTTATTTTTTGCCCCATTTGAGCTTTGTGGCATTGCATCTTCCATTTCTACATCCATGTCGTCAGCAGAGTGTTGTTGAGGTAGTTGCATTTGCAAGGGTGCAGAAGGTCCTACACCATATGGTTGGCGTAACATTGGTAAATTTGGCATACCTGTTTCTGTGGTTGGTGGTGGAACTCCGATTGGAGGAACATTGTGTGGCATACCTAAAATAATTTTTTTTTTATATTGATTTATGTTATATTATTTCAATTTTTTTGAGTTTTAATATTTTGTGAATTGTTTTCATATACATACCAGTAGAGTTGGGTTTATCAGAAGGTGCAGCTGGGGCTGGTAAAGGAATTTGAGTTAATAGACCAACGCCAACACTTGCTCCAAATGGAGAATTTACAGGTGGCGTTAACATAGTTTGCATCATTCCTGGTGGTCCTAATAAACTTTGCATATTTGGGGGTGGCACGCCTATGGGAACATTTGGCATTAAACTATGTGCCATTGGTAATCCCATTGGTCCAATCATACCTAAATGATAAAAGATATAAAATGATAAACTTGCAAATATGAATAGAATATCAATCTTTAATTTTTTTAATAAACTTACGAGGAACTCCTGTCATTGTGAAAGCAGGTGGCATCATCTGTAATTGTGTATTCGGTGGTGGCAAAAGTGCAGCTGATGTAGGAGGTCTAATTGGCGGAGGTTGACTCGTATCGATTACTTGTTGCTGCTGTTGACCTTGTTGCTGTGTTTGCTGTTGCGATTGCTGCTGTTGAGCACTAGTTGATGGTTGCATTACATTCACAATACCATCTGTCAAATTTGGAATTCCAGCAGCTGCAACTAATGCTTGTTGTTGCAATTGTAACTGTTGTTGAAGTACATCTGCATTTGTCCCGGAATGCTTTAATTTGCCTATTAATGTTTTGTAACAATTGGCATTTATTATCACAAATTTAGCTTAAAATATAGCATCCTTTTACCTTTAAGATTGGGAGGTAGAGTGTCCTCATCAATCATACCTCCTTCTTCTAATAATTCTAAATCTTGATCAGTAACATTAACTAATTTATTCCAAGGAATATAACTAACTCCTAATTCAACCTCCCAATAATCTTTCCATTCTTTTCCTTTCACTCCTTTTCCCGGTGCCCAAGCTAACTAAAATATAAAAAAGAAAAATTTTATTATTTTAAATAAGACAGAATTTTATTATTATCTAACACGTTTGTAAACATGTTTAATTTAAAAATAAAAATACATTTGGAAATAACCAAATGTTAACTTACAGTGATTGCCTTTCCCTGCATTTTATGATTTTTAAGCTTAGTAAGAGCTCTGTATGCATCTTGTCTTCTATTCATACATATAAAGGCGCAACCTCTAGGTGAAATTAGATCTATACTGACAATATCACCAAATTCTCCAAAAGTATCTGAAAGTTCTTCTTGATGTACTAATTTTGATAGATGTCCTACCCAAAGAGTAGTACTGCAAACTGTAAATAAATATGTTAAACTCATGAAAAAAAAAGAAGAAAAAACAATTTTTTCAAAACAAAAATAAATATATATGAAAATAAGTGAATTACCGCTTAATTTATCTCTCACAATTGGCGGTAATCCTCGTTTACGCCTTTCTCTTTCTTTTTCTCGTTCTTCCTCGGTCATTTTTTCTCGACTATCCTCTCGTTTTCTGTCACGACCTCTGTCTCTTGAACGAGACCTATAATATAATAATACCTAATTTAATATCAAATGATCATAACAAAGTATGTAAAATAATACATAAATATATATTGTAAAATAATACATGTAAAATTACCTTCTCCTTCTAGATCTGCTTCTTGATCGAGATTTTCTATCTCTGTCTCTATCTCGATCCCTATCCCTATCTCTATCCCTATCCCTATCTCTATCTCTATCCCTATCTCTATGTCGTGGTGATCTAGATCGACTGTGATGTCTGTATCGATCAGGCGATCTACTTTGTGATCTTGTATTTTCACAATTTACTATTTCTACACTGCTACTATCTCGTCTTGCACTATTCCTATAAATAATTATTTATTAATTAGTTGCAATATAATAATGTTACACATTAATTTGAATTAAATAAAAAATTGAATTTCATAAAAAGGAAAAATATTTACCCAGAATAATCTTGCGTATCTTGCCGTTCATCGAGAAGCGGACTCTTTTGATTTTGATGCGCCTGCTGATTTATCTGCCTAATATTTGTTAAAGGTTGAGAGGCATATGGTAGAGCCGGTGGATAACCAGGAGGTGGTTGACTCATATCTTGTATGACTCCGCTACTTACATTTGTTGTATAAGTGTTTGGTTGACTTGGTTTCAAAATATCTGATGGTTTTAATTCACATTCAGATGCAAATGGTAAATTCTAAAATAAAAATCGATTTTAATTAATATAATATGCTATCATTATATAGAACTTTTCTTTTTTTTATTCAAACAAAAAAGAAAAAAAATATTTTTATTATTCATACAGGAACAGTTTGAGCTAGATGTTTATCAAATTCTTCTTCCTGTTGCTTCATTTGTTGGAGTTTCCGCATTTTTTCTTCTGTTTCGTGCTGTGTTGAAGAAGTACTTCCTTGCATTGTTTGTTGCAATGTTTGAAGTTGTCTCAAAACCTATTAACGATTAAAGAATTAAACAATTTAGTAATGAAACCATGTTTCTTCTTTGATTAAGTAATAAATTTGTACCTCTGGATTTGTTAAAAGAAGTCCAAGACTTTCCAAACTATTTCCTGTTGAAACTGTATTATGTTGACCAGAATTAGATGCTGTTGTTGCTGTTGGTGAATTAGCAGCAACAACAACATCATCATCTTCTTCTTCACCATAGTCAAAATCTAGGAGTTTTTTATCAAATTTTACAGAACTCTTTTGTTCATTTGTAGGTTCTTGCTTTTTTAACAGTAACTGTTGCAAATGTTGCAATTGATCAAGGAAAGAAACATCCATTTGACTTGAATTTGATTGCCCCTTAAAAAAATGATAAAACTAAGATTATATCCATTAACAAATAAACATACAAAATACTACAAACAACAAAATATATTACAAACTAATATATCTGAAAATTATATATAAGATAAATACGAAAAGGAAATTTACTAATAGTTTATTAGCTGTCTCTATTTTTGTTTGTGCAAGCCAAGCAGGATCAATTGGCTTTGCGGAAGAAAATAATTTTTGATCCTTTACTGCATTTTTTGCAGTCAAAGGAGGAGTCTTGACAGAAGTTGAGGTGTTACTAACATTATTTGTTGCAGATATATTTAATGTACCTAAACATAATAACAATAATTATTATTTAATTTCATTTAGATTCTATATATATATATATATATATATATATATATATATATATATATATATATTTCTTTACCATTGGTATTAACTGCTTGTTCTTTATGTATTGGATGATTTGGATCAGCAAGATCAAATAAAGGTTGTATAACCTCTGAGGGAAAAACTGCATTCTTTTGCCAAAGATTTAAAACTCTTATTACTTTGCTTTTGTCTTCTTGAGGACACTTCAATAGATTTAAGAAAGTAGTTTGCATGTTCTTGGCAAAGCGTGGAGCAAATACATCTTTCTCTACTCCAAACTGGTGTCTGGACTGACGTACGATTGAATCTATAACGTACAATCCAGGCACTTTGTACTCTGGTTTACACTGTAACATAAATTAATAATTAATACCAATGGAATTAACAATATATTTAATATATATTTAGATTTATTTTTGTAACTTACTTTTTGAATGAATTTCTCAACACTTTGCACAACATGTTTATAGAATTTAATTGCCTTAATTGCACCCCTAGTTAAAGAATTCATTTTAGCTTTTGAAATTGGTGGTTTGACATCATACAGAGCTGAAAGCTGAAAAAGAAAGAAATAATGTACATATATATAATTATTATTTTTATTCTAAATACTTCAATGTATTAATATCTTAGTCAGAAAATATAATTAAATTCATAAATTTAAAAATTCTGCTAATAATTGAAAAAAAATATTGGTATCAATTAATGGATCTATACTTTGCAAATATGTATTTTCAATTTTCACATTTAGGTTGTCAAAAGTCAAATATATCAATATAAACTTTAATGGATTGATAACAAAAATTAAACAAAAACTTAGTACAATCAAATCCTTTAAATGCTATTAGCATTCTACTAATATTACTTAAAAAATATCTGTTATTGCTTTTCCTTATTCCTTTTCCTTCTATGACACAATCAAACATAACTAACACAAGTAAAATACATATATTATAATTATTATTCTTCCTTTATCATTAAATGAATTACAAAAATTTTACGTACTACCAACAATTATGTTGTACATTATATCACAATAAAGGTTTTCTTTAATTTCTCTCCCTCTTTCTTATATATAAAGATGATCGCTCCCTCTCTCTCACACATCTAGAAATCAAAGCATTCTTCAAGCACGAAAATCACTCAAATTTTCATACAGCAAGCAGCAAAAACGTCGAAGAAAATATTTTGCGTGAATTTTTAGTTTAAAATAGTGACGCGTTCAACTTTGAAAAGTAAGAAAGAAAGAGAAAAAGGGAAAGAAGAGCGAGAGAAAAAAAGAGGGAGAGTCGGCGGGCTAGAAGAAGAATTAAGGGTAAGTCAACTCACCTCTGCGTTAAATGCTTTAACCGCCTCCATCCTGATGAAGGTGCAAAGCACCAAAGATTTGCTATGTTTCACAGAAATCCGTGATTCTTGGGATGATGAATGTTTTCTCGATAAATTGCATGTCTTGGCTCAGGGCGCACTGTCTAGCTGGGCCATGCCACTCAAGATGGCGGCTCTATTTCCCGAAAGGCATCGCGGGGCGGTGATGCGTGACGTCACATGCCGCTATGTACAGTCGGTAACAAGCATTGTTTCAATACCGATTATCCTACACCAAGCAAAATATAAACAAATTATTAAACGGGTATCAATCCAAATTTTTGTCATTCTTTTTTTTAATAGTAAATTAAATTTTTAACGAAACATATTACGTAAAGTATATACATATATAACTTTAAATAAATTAAATAATATTTTAGATACCATAAATTTAATTAGTAATACAGATATTATAAAATATAAAAAAATAACATACGTTCAATGAATATGAAATGTTATATCTTAAGCTTATTTCTTTATATTTTGATCATTAAATTTCAATATCTGTAAATGTTAACATTTTCAAAATTTCTACCTTATATATATATAATTCGTATAAAAAGGACTTGCATGAAAATGAAAAAAGTATTTTTTAATAAATTTCGTTACATTTTATGAAGTAATTCTCCGTATAGGATATTTGATCATAAATTAAATTAAATACGTTACTATATATATAAATTATAAATACACTATATAATAGTGTACTTATAATTTCTTGTAATAATTATCTATAAAAGTGAAAATTGCAGGATCAGAAGTACCAACCTTGTAAATACGTCTGAATTTCTGATTTCATAAATGTCAAGTAATCATTTTATAGAGGTTTGAACACGTAAGTTTGTATAGTTGCAGTATAAAGTATTAGTGTTTAAAATTGCACTTATAAAATTTAACTTATAAATATGCAACATTTTTATTAAAAAAATAAAAATATGAATAAATGATTATGAAAAAGTATTTAATGTTCGACAATCATTCTATTATTATGCACAAATACTTAATTTTTAAATCGAACGTTAAATTTACATAAGTATTTTATGGTATATTTTTGTAAGTTATAAGTTTTATTAAATTAATTTTATTAATAAAACAGGTACCTAGTGAAAATGATAAAAATACCAGAAGAGATTAATCTTGAAAATTATACTCTGATGCTTCCTTCAGTGGCTGTTGGAAATGTTGGACAATTATGCATTGATCTGTTAATATCTAGTCTGAATTTGCACAAAATTGGAAGTTTATGGAACTCTATGTTTCTTCCAATTTGTGGACTTGATCCTTATGATAAAAAGTCCAATTCTCTTTGTACTACTGCTGACTTTTATCTTGGAACATGTCATAATATAATTCTTTTGCAATTACGTTCACCCTATGTTGGTAATTCAAATGAATTCTTTGATGAATTAGCACAATTTATTCAACGAAAAAGACTTAATAAGGTAGTATAATGTTATACTATTACAAATATTAATTATTTCATTGTTGTGTTAATATAAAAATTATTTTTATAGATAATAATATTAACCAGTAGTTATGACTATGAGTGTGCAAATAGGTCAGAATTTAAAATAAAATATCTTACTTCGGATGAATCTCTATCAAATGACGAAAAACTTCTTAAGAATTTATGTTGGATATCACATATGAAAAGTGTCAAAACAAATTCTACAGAACAATGTTACATTCCTGGTGGTGGATTTGCAAATGGTCTTTACGAATATCTTAAAACATTTGGAATTCCTTGTACAGTCTTATTTAAATATTGTTCAGAAGGAGACAACGTTTCTGATGCATTAGTACTTTTTAAAGGATTGAATGAATGGTTGAATTTAATAAATGACGATATTAACAGTATTAAATATCCATCTTCTTGGGAGTACTTCTTTGGAAATCCACCTTCTCTTGATATGTATTAGATTGTATTCTATTAATTTTGTTCCAATTGTTTAAAAATAAATTATAAAAAAAATTATGTATAAATTAAAATATTAATCTTATAAAAATCACATCCTACTATGAATACAAATATAAGTTCATTTAATATTCATTATAAAAAACAAATTTTGTATTAAAAAAAGATAATAAATTTAATAGTGTTATAGAATAAATTTCATCATTAATTAAATTACAAAATTATATTAAAAGAAACAAAACTCATTTGCTTTTAGTAACGTTTAATTTATATAAAAATTTTAACAAATTTATTGTTTATGAAAAATATTCAAGCAAGAAGCTTGAATTTTGAAGAGAAAGCAGAATATGATACTAAGGCAGCTAAAAGAACAGCAAGGAGTTCCGAGTTAATCCAAGGTCCACGATATATGCCTGGATTATTAAGTACTACAACAACTAATGGTTTCACGCTGTTTGGATCTTCTCCATTTCTTAGTGCTTTACGTATAGCTGCATATCTTTCATCATCGTATAATTTTATATTGTAATCTCCTGAACGTGCTTTTTTCACATCTTCTGTCCAAGAAACCTATGAAATTAAAATTTACCACGATTTTAATTAAATTCTTATAAATTATAAATAATTTTAATTTGACATAAATTCAGTTTCATTTCAAATTTAATTAAATTTTAAGTATATAAATTTTAATAAAGCGTCTTAATACCTGATATTTATTATCAGAACTTAACCTAGCAGCTGGTAATGATTTACCATCAACCTCTGCATACAATGTAATGCCTTTCACACCATTACTACATTTAAGCACAAATTGTGTTGTGAATGCAACATTTGTTAGAATTGTTGCATCTTCTGTAACATATGCAGAGGCAATAACCTCAGGCTTTTGACAAGTTTCGGCAAAAATTTCAGAAATTCCACAAATGAGAATAGAAAAAATTATAAATCGGTTCATCATGTTATTTTATATTTACTTTAATTAATGATTTTCCTTGAATATTATTTATAAATAAATTATACGAATAAAATTAACGTAACGACTGCCAGTTTAAACCATACTAAGTTAAACGTGACTATGTTTGCTTGACTACTTTGTCGCGTATATATGTAAAGTGACACGTAATAAAGTAGTTGGAGACAGTGTTACCAACTTATTTTTGAAACAGTTTATAAACAATATTTTAATTATAAATCTTACAATTAGAAATATATATCATCATTACGTTCTCATATATTATAGAATTATTATTATTTCGCAAAATAGCGAAAAAATCATTTGTAACAAAAATATAATTAGTTCCTAAAAATACAATTTCAACATCATAGAATGTTAATATATAATGGTGTTGTATGTAAATTATTATTACTATTTTTATTCATATTATTATATTACACACTCTGTGCTAAAATAAGATCATTATATATAATTTTATAAAAGTAAATTATAACGTTATAGGATAAATTATAATTAAAGAATTTAATGACGATACTTTGAAGATTGCTTCAATACACTTGAAAAAATATGTTTATTCTAATATTACAAATATACATATATTATTAATTATCAAAAGTTTATAATATAGGCAAACATTATAAGAATATAAGAGAGTATTTGGTTTATAAATACTTGAAAAATCTGTACATGAGATACAGAGTTTGACCAATAATAAAATAATTCTTTAAAAGTTATATTCAATAAAACTTTTAAATATTATATTATATCAATCAAACTATTTTTGTGTTTAAAATACTATAAAAATTATTACTTGAACTACATGTATATATATATATATATATATATAATGTAGTTCAAGTAGTATATATATATATAATGTATTTTAATTAATAAATAATAAAAGCTATATATGATGTATTATATATATAATTATGATAATATTAATGAAAATATCATGTGTGTAATTACTTGACACAAAAGATGTTATATTATCTGCAATAAATAAATTCTGAAACTTGTCAATTATATAAATTTAACTTCTTAAATCTAAACAATTTCCAGATTTCAGAAAGTAATATTGAAAAAAACCATTATATAATTAACTCAGCTAATTTAAAATTCAATTAAATTCATTTCTTTTGTTACTGTATTTAATGCTGTTGACGTTACAACTGATGTAGTAAAGGATCGTACATGAGATCTGAAAGTTGATGCAGGTTCCCATGCTTCATCTCTGATAATTCCTTGATTTCGTGGATACATGAGCAACGGATCTTTCCCTGTTTTCTTGCATAACTTTTCTTGAAGCACTATTAAACGAAATCTCCAATATTCATAACTTGCTTGCTTAAGTGCATTTACCCATTGTTCTACTTGTAATTCTGAACGACCACTTAAAACATGTCTTTTTTCGTATTCATCTCGAAACGCTATACTAAATGCAAATACACCTTCAGTTGCAGCATCAAGGTTAATACTATAATTTTCCAAAATAATTACACCTGCCGGTTGCCTAGTATCAATTTGTCCCAATTCATTGATGTTAAAATAAAATAACAAGTTACATCGTAGTTTGAACCACTTTTCTTTGAATCCTAAAATATAAATAATATAAACGTTAAAAAATAATTTTTATTATTCCAATAATATTAAAATTTTATGAATAAATTAGCCCTTCACAAGCAAGGGTTAATTATCACACTATTCATATAGGAAAGCTGAATCATTCATGCCCATGCCTAATATCTTTTACTACTTTAGGCTTTCAAAAAATGTAAAAACATTTTGAATTACCTAATGAAGTCTTTATTATACAATCAGTTTTTAAGTCAAATCTTTAAATGATCTTTTTTAGGAGAAATAAAAATTTATTTCGAGAAATTCGCATAGGGAACAACACCAAATTGTCTATGGAATATTAGAGAAGTATGAAAATATGCATGGAAAAATAAGAATTTGTAAAAGATTATTGGTTATAAGTAATTAAAGTTAACATTCTTAAAACTAACCTGACTTGTGTGCTCGTTTATGATTTAAACGACCTTCAATATCAGCGGGACCATTACTTGCTTCTGCAAGCTCTTTTTCGTTGAATTTCATAATGATAAAAATCATTTACACTTTATATATTTATTATTACATAAATGCTATCGCATAGTTCTAATACGTATATCACTCATATTCCCTTGTTTTGCTGTTTGTTTCAACTATATTAAAGAATTTGGCTATATTTCTAAAAATTTAGTGCCAAATTGTCAATATTACACAACGTTATATATATTGCATTGTTTGTTTATTATCTTTTATTGATTTTAATATACTTTTTTAATTTATATAAATTATATCAAACACTAATAATTATTAAGGAGTATTAAAATCCATGTTGTATACCAACGTAATGTGAATATGTACTCATGTGTTATTAAACGTCAACACTAAAGTTTGCAGAGTACTCTATCGAAAGTTTGAAATAGCGCGTTTGATCTTTGTAGTCTGAGAAACATACATCACATAGATTTGTCACGTTCTAAAAAAAATTTATTTTATCTTGACTTTTATCTATAAACAACAAATGTGATTCTTTTTAAACAAACGTACATTAACACCGTTTTTTAATAAATCTACTTAACTAAATATGTAAAAGTTAGATAAATAAATAAAGTAATAAAATTGGTCAACCTGAAAGATACGTGTATGATGCATTTCATATGTTTTGCATGCAAAGACGTGTGTGACCGTATAAGTCGTGTATCAAAATTACAATCATTGTAACAAACTTATTTACTAATAGATGTAACATATTTTAACTATCTGTATTTATTTAAAAAACGAATCTTATACTCAGTTCTATGCACATTTTGTAGAAAAGTAGGTTTTAATTATTTTTAATACAATTAGGTAATGGGTTCGTTAACAAGTCGACAGAACGCTGGTGTAGAAGAAGTTGATATTGTTTCAAATCATGCATACAAATATCCTCCTCGTTCGGGTTTGTTGTTATTTTAAAAATATTTTTAAAATATTAAATTGTACAGCTATAAATAAAATTTTGCAGAAATATTAAAAAATATATGTAGGAACTAAACAATTTTTATTCTAATAAGTTACATACTAAAACACATGTATTGCAGAATATTTCGTATCTTATTTAATAAATTTTATTTATTAGGAAGTTATTTTGGTAGTCATTTCATAATGGGTGGTGAACGTTTCGATACGCCACAACCAGAAGCATATCTTTTTGGAGAAAATGCTGATTTGAATTTTTTAGGAAGCCGCCCAACACCTGTAAGAAATAATATTATTATGATAGTATATAAGGTTACATAGTTTTCAGAAACTCATTTTTATTGTAGTTTCCATATCCTCCACCACAAGCTAATGATCCTACTAAAACATTGAAGAGTTTAGTAAACATAAGAAGAGAATCATTAAGATTGGTTCGTAATGTTGATCAAACTTCCACTTCACCTCAATGTCACAATGTTAAACATTATGGAGATGGTGATCTAGATAAAAAATCAAGTCGTTATAATATTGAATTCACATTTGATTGTGATGTAAGATGTGCAATTACAATATATTATTTTTGCACTGAAGAAATAACAACAAAAGGAGTTACGTATGTAATAAATGTTATAAAAGTTTGACATACTATGTAAATTTTATTTTCATATATAATGAAAAGTATAACATTTGTAGATACATACCAAGAGACCCTTCTATGAATTCTGAAACATATTATTACAAGAAAGGTGCCAATCAGTTATTTTCTCAAACATCACATACATTTGATCCAACAGCTTATAGCAAAGAAGATCTATTGTATAATGCTGATAGGGAAGTATGTACGTTTGAAATATCTATATAATAAATTTATAAAACTTTTACATTATGTTTTGTTAATTAATATAGTTACTTGTAGATAATACCAATAGCAATTCATTGTGTAGCAGAAGAAGGCTCAGATGAACCAAAACAGTCTCATACTACTATTGCAGTTGTTGAGAAACATTCGGATGGAACATATGTATTAAAAGCTCTTAAACAAAAGCTTTATGTTGATGGTCTTTGTTATCTACTTCAAGAAATATATGGAATTGAAAACAAAAACGCAGAGAATGCAAAAGTATAAAATATTATATAACTAACACTTTTTATTTTTATATTTGTTTCACTGTAATTTATTTTTTAGCAACAAGGTAGTGATGAAGATACAGATGATAATGGATCAGAATGTGTTATTTGTATGTGTGATGTGCGAGATACTTTAATATTACCATGTAGACATCTGTGTCTATGTAATAGTTGTGCAGATTCTCTTCGATATCAAGCAAACAATTGTCCAATATGTCGGGCTCCTTTCAGAGCTCTTCTTCAAATTAAAGCTCTTCAGAAAGCAACTGGTGCTATTATATCAAATCCACCATTACCAGAGGTCAATATTTACTCAAGTAATTATAAAAATATATTTAAATACATGTACACATGTATATTCTATTTTAGTAATAATAGACTTTTCTCTTATTTGGCAAAAAAAAGTGTTACATTTTTTTTAGGGAAGTTGTGAAAATATACCAGCTGGATATGAAGCTGTATCATTAATAGAAGCTTTAAATGGTCCATATATTCCAAGAACTGCTGTTCTTGCTCCAGAATCTCCAGATACCCCCGATACAGATACAGCTAATGCAATTCAAGCAGCTGAAGCATTAAATAGGTAAAATAATGTTAGTTCAATTTCTTAACATATTTAATTTATGTTACTTAAGTATGTTAAGAACATTTAATTTAATTATAATATTTGACTTAATATTTAATTTATGTTAATAATTTAAATTTTAATTTAAAAGATCTATAGAACGTACACCCGTATCAAAACATGTATCTTCAAAAGAAGGAGATATATCCGCAAGGACGAGTGGTACTACATGTCCTACTCCAGAATTTCGAATGTCTGTTTTATTAGCTAGAGATGAACACTCAGGATCACAGAAAGATTTGCATAATCGATCTCCAGCAATGAGGATGAAAAATTCTGCACATTTACGAGAAAAGGCAGTGCTACGGTCACGAGATACTCTTAGACTTGTTAATGAAAAGCAACCAGTTTCTCTTTACGAGGTACCCTATTGACGTTCAATTTTTAATATTTTTTTTTTTATTTCACAGTGCTCAATAAAATATTAAAAATATAGTTTTATTACGTTGTCCAAATAAATCAGTACTTACAGGGACAAGGACAAGATGAAGACAGTGAGGCAGAAAAATTATCCCCATTGTTAGATGCAGCAACCAGTACAGAAGCACTTGATACTCATAGTCGCGGAATATGTGATATAGATATCGATGACGAAATTCAGAATACAGAAAATGAAAATGATGCTGATATTACATGTCATTCACATTAAAAATAAATATCTCCATACAATAATATGTAATCGTATCTTCTAAAAAAGATACACATTTAATTAATTTTTATAAGAGTATACATTTCTTTGAAATTTTAATTGTAAATTGTAAATATAATATTAATTGTAAATTAAAATTAATTATATTTATAATTATTGGCTAGAAATTTATATTTGTTTAATTATTTAAAAGTTACATGTAATTATACTATTGCTTGATAAAAATTTATATACCTTCTAGAAGAAATAAAATTATTTCATAAATTTTCGAATTAACTAAATATTAAAGATATAAAATTTAACTTTAACAAGTAAATAACAATCAGAGTTAATGGTATAATATGAAATTGTAAAATGAGAGTAACAACACAGAATGCTTGTTTTCAGTTTATTTAATGAAATAAAAGCTTCAATTGTTTTGTTTAAGCAGTTGCGAGAACTTGTCTAAACTTCTTCCACTGTTCAAGAGGTCCATGTTCTGGCAAATATTTGACATTGCAACCATCTGGAGCTAAACGACCCGCTGCTTTCAGGTCTTCATATTCAGTACGATCATATTTTGTAAATCCCCATTTCTTTGAAACATAAATTTTCTGACGACCGGGAAATTTAAATTTTGCGCGACGCAATGCCTCAACTACAGCCGCCTTATGACGATCGGATGAACGTACACTCATAATAGGCTGTCCAATGTGTACTCTAGCTACAGTACCTTGTGGTTTACCAAAAGCACCACGCATACCTGTTTGAAGTCTGAAAAAATATAAAATATTTGTTGAAATTGAGCTGAACATACGATTATGATTATGATAATAAACAATATAAAGAGAATTTAAATTATAATTTGTATCTATGTACCTGTCAGCTCCAGCACATGATAACATTTTATTGATGCGAATAACATGGAATGGATGGAGTCTCATACGAATATGAAACTGATCTTTTCCAGCATTTTTCACCATGTACTTATTTGCACAAATACGTCCAGCTTCAAGAGCCTCAGAACTAAGTTGTTCATATTCGTCCGATACCAAATGCACACACAATGGAAAATCTTCTACAGAGGCTTTCTTTTTTCCAAGATCAAAGATACGTATCTTGGGATCAGGCACACCTCTGCAGAATCTTGATTTAGGATAAGGTTTGTTCTTACAATACCGATAACTATTAAGAAAAATACAAATATAAGTTGTATAATAAATGATTATAAACAATAATATTGTAACATTAAATTTAGTAATATAAAAAATATATGTGATAACTTTCTTCTGTATTATCATAATTTATAATTCTATGTAATATATTATGTATAAAAGTTAGTATCTACATATTTTGTTGAAGCATTAATAAAGAAAATAAATTTGTATAATACGTACCATCTAGCTGGTCTGCGCCCCATATTGGCTATCACAAATAAACAAAAATATTAATTTTATCAAATAAAAAAATAATACTTGTATAAGCTTGTTTAATAAATTAAAATAATAAAAAATGGAAGGATGAATGATATATGCTTGGATATTTTAAGATTACAACAAATTAGTATCAAACACGCACCTGGTTGCGTAGCTCTTACAGACCTTGAACAAGAAGAAAATTCGTTACTCTGAATGAAGTTATAAACGAAGAACGTGAAGTTAGTTGCAACTAGAAAGTTACTATTTAAGGATAATTTTTAATCAACGACAGGTTTTTAGTGATAAAAACCATAGAAATGCAATAGAAATGTTATAACTATAATATGTATTGTTTGTACTTTATTTATAATGTTATAATGGAATCGGAATTGTCGGAAGAAACTGCTTTACGTTCTCAATTTACAGTGGATGATTTGGATATTGAAATATTGCCACTTATATATGAGATAATTCGGAGGTTTGTATATTTTAATAATTTGACAATGAAAATACTTTTATTATGACATTAAATTATTTCAAAATAAAAATATAACCTTTGTCTGTTTTGTTATTTGAATATTATTTCTAGTTTTCTATATACCTGATTATAAATGTATAATTTTCTATATATCAGTGTATAAATTTAATTTCGAAATCATTTGTAAATATTTATTTATAACAAATTTTTAAATGATAACAAAACAGTACTTGAGTTTTTTTATTCACAAGTGTTAATATGTTGGTACAGTTATACATAAATTAAAATATGTGTATGTATTGAAGTATATTTACAAAAAGTATATTTTTAAAATAAAATCTATAATTGTAGATTTGTATGTATCAGAGTACATATAGTTTCTAAAGATTTTATTATACGATGTATGTTATATGTATTCTTATATGTATGTTATATGTATTCTTAATTTTATTTTTAGTGTTGAAAAAGATCCACATGACACCACACAGAAAGCTAAAGAGTCTCAAGATACAAGTCATAAAATATTAGAACTTCAAAAGAAATTAGATTCTGCAAGAGCACAGGTAAAGTACTTTATCTTAGATTTTTAGAATAAATAAATTTTTAGATTAAACAAAAATACATTGTATAATATTACGTTAAAACAATATAGTTTTTATATTTTATAGATTAAAAAATTACCAGGAATAGAATATAGTAAAGAAGAACAGTTACAAAAACTTGAAACTCTACGTAAACAACTTAGGCTTAAACGAGAACTTTTACTGAAATATCGTAACATGTGTACATTTGAAGTTCCTAAAGTATAAATATCTTTGTTTGTTTAAAAAAAATATTGTAATTATGGGCTTTTTACGTATGTTATTTACATATTTAATGCGCAATGAACAATTAATTGATAAATTAGCAAATACAAAACCAATTAGGCGATCTGCACAGTTTGTAGCATATTTAATACTTCAAAGTAAAACACATGGTATTTATTTACCCTTTAATCGTAAGAGATTTGTTAGACAATTAAGAATGTTTACAAATACCATTAAACAAAAGTTAGAAGAAACAAAAAATGAAATAAAAAAAAATCCACCTAAGTAGTTTTTGTATATATTTAGAGTTGCAAATAGCAAACAATGTGATAAAGAAAGATTTATCAAAGTAGTTCTTGTAAAAATAAGTTATAGTTATTTTAGACTTGGTTTAGTTACAAAAAATTAAATTTGTAACAATTTCTGTATAAGAAGACAATAAAAAGATATGGATATTTAGTTTTTAAAATTTATTGTCATTCAGCATAAAAATAAATTTGAATTTTACTTCTATATTTCCTTTTTTTTCATAGTATAATATACGAAAATAGAGATTACTCATATATTTTACACTGCATTTATAAAATAATATCTTATATACTTATTAATAGTAATTAAATAATTATCTTTCTTTTTTTGTTTTATTATTATTACGATATTGTTAATATCTATTTTAGTGTTTTAAATTTTGTTTCATGTTTTCAATTCATAAGTTTTATGTTCTCGTGCAATATTTTTATTCCTCGGTCAACATTTGCTTTGTTATTAGTTTATATTTTTCTTCTATTATTAAAAAACTTTATATGAATTTGTTATAAGACATTAATAATAATTATAATTAATATAATATAGAAGTCAAAGAAAGATAAATGAAATGTTTTATATATAGATTACTATTTTATTTACTTAATACTATTTTAAGATACACTTGTGTTTATAAAAATAAAACACTTTGTGAATAACAACGTATATTTCTTCATACGTTTTAAAAACATTTTTAAATTTTTGATAATTTAGTCAAAATGTGAAAGACAATTTGTACTCTAATAGGGTTGAAAGCACAATGTGCGTTTTATATATATATAAAACAGGGTTTCTTTTTACACTTTAAGGTAAAAATCACAATCCTTCGGGATATAAATAACCCCCAAACTAGATGAAATTGCCATTATTATGTATCATAATCTTACATATATTTTAATATAAATAACTACTAAATAATATATTAATTTTATATATAAACAATGTACTTTGCACTTTTTGAAAATAAACTAAAAAATTGTAATTTTTTTAAAAATTTAAATTATTAAAAAATAAGGATTTTTTAAGAATAAAAAGTGGTTGTTATTAATTTTCAAAAATTATAAAATAAGCTATATATAGAGAATGTGTATACGTATATACATGTTTAAGAGTTTTGTACATAAAACAATTCATAGTTTTGTGGGAGGATTTTGTTCTGACAGCGGTTGAATAATACTATTTACAGTATTGTGAGATCGTCCTCCTTTCCGTCCTCTATTTTTTTTATTTTGACGTTTGTTAGTTTTTTGTAACAAATTTTCTTGCTTCGATGTCTGTCCTTCAAATGAAGAATTTGTTTCAGTCGCATCTAATGACTAATGCAAAAATTTATGTTTATAATTATTTAAAATTCCCATATTTCTATATAAGAGTAATATTACGTACTTGGATTGCAGATGATGAGCTTTGCCGATTTTGAGATATTTTATTTGATTTATTAGCTCTAGACGTTTGTATCACCGTAGTACTAGAATGTGGAATAAGTGTCACTACATTTCCCACTGCTTTAGTACGACCTTCTCTAAATACTATTCTTTGTCCTGGTTTCATATATTCAGGATGCTTTATAAATCTAAAGCGTACTAAAGCTTTGTCTCCTGTTCTTAAACAATCTTGCGACATAGATATTATAGATGCTGTTTGTCTTATACTTCCACAATGCACTAAAAATGATTTTCAATAATTTTAAATATGAGAATATAATGGATTATAATTCAAAATTCAAACAAAAAAAAAAAAAAAAAAGAGAATTACCCATTGCTTGGTAACAAGAACTTATTGTTGTAGGATGATGCAGTACAAGAATTTCTCCCTCAAATTCCCAACAAGCTTGTGGATTTAATGCTTGTGCGACCATCACCATACCTTTTCTAATTTGTGATCTTTTAATTTTTTTCAATGCAAAACTAGCAGTTTGACCACCTCTTACTTCACGAACAGGCATTCTCTTCCTATGTATACTTTTTACTGCAATCGGAATAAAACGACCTAAAGGATCGGGTCCTAATAATAGAATATCGTTTAATTTTATAACACCTTTCAATGTTGTGCCAGAAACTACAGTACCAACTCCCTAAAAAGATATAGAAATAAAAATGAAGACAATTTTTCATTTCATAATTAATTTTTAGTGTTAGTGTTAGTACATCATAAATCTAATATTTCATAACTAAAGTTATAATATAATACTTACTGGTACTGAGTATGTATCGTCTATTTGAAATTCTGCTGGTTCATCTTCGTGACTAATCATTCTTGCAGTTAATAAATTTAAAAACATTTTAAGAAGGTTTAAATTTTCTCCTGTTACGTTCGAGACTTGAAAAATAGGACATAATCTGTTTAAATATATTAATAATTAAAATATCGATAAACTTATATAGGAATAGTGTATCAAATAAAAACTGACCGTTCTGATACAAAATTAGTAGCACTAACAACAACATCATCAGCTGTTTTTACTGTAACAGGTACTTTTCTACAACCTGGAGACTTTAAGATTCTTATTAATAGTCTTAAGTTTTCTTGCAATATATTTGGTGGACACATATCAATTTTTGTAACTACAACAAATACTGGAACTGATAAAGCTAAAGCCAAACCCAGATGTTCCTTTGTCATTCCAACAATACCAGCATTTGCTCCAACCATTAACATACCTAAACATTAAAAAATTAAATTAATATTAAAATACACAAAGAATTATTAAATAAAATTATTACAAAATTTTACCAAAATCAGGCGCATGTCCTGTCATTCCAAAAACAGTTGTTTTCAAATATCTTTCATGTCCAGCAAGATCAATGAATGTAATAACTTTAGAAGATTTTTCACATATTTTAACCCAATCCAGAGATCCATGCTCTGGCTTATTCACTACATTACCTAAAATGCAAAATATACGATTACACACGTATTATGATACACACAATATATAGATGTAATATTTGATATTTAATTCATCAGTTTTCATACCAACGCTATCAAATCCAAGAATATCATTTCCAACTGAACTAGTACGTCCTGTTTCAGCTTCATGTTTATGTCGAAATAACTTTTGACGTGCTAAGCCTCGACCATTATCAAGTTCTCCATGTGTTAATACACCTAAAAGTGTTGATTTTCCAGCATCAACATTGCCAACAACAGCCACTCTGTAATTAAAATCTATTGAACTAAGTTTTTCCCCACAAGTATTATACGTTATTGTCATCCACCATATCTAAAATAAAAACCTGATTTCCAAAAAATCCTGTCTATCTAAACGCCTTCGTACTAGATATTGACCTATAAGACCTTGATCTACTTTACTTTGACGTAAAAGTACACAGTCTGCTTCTAATGTTGCAGCAAGAGATTGTAAAGTAGCAACAGATGCTTCATATTCATCTTCTTTTAAACCATCTTCTGAACCATCTAAGATGAGATAAATTACAAATATTTCTATGAATATAAACAAAAATTACATACGAACCTTCACCAATACCAATATCAAAAATTGTTTCACTACCACCATCTTGAATTCTTTCTCTTAAGCGTCTAAGTAACAATTCATATTGGTCCTCTGATGGACTTACTAAAACATTCTGAAATCAATTACAATTCGTCATTGACATAAAATTTGTCTCACTGAAATAAAGTTTCAGTAAACATACCTTTCCTCTGATGCTAGAGTAATCTACGTTGGAAGTAGATGCATGATCATTCTCATGTAACTGTCTTATATTTGGTATTATTATAGGTCCATTCCCTGCCATATCTTACTTTTGTATTATATTTTTATGGTACAGTAAGTTATATTTATTGATAAAATGTGATCACTTATCACATTAAAAATTTGAACTATTTACTGATACGTTCGTATAATAAAAAACATCTTCCAGTATTTAAATCCAAATCTTATTCTATAGACTCTTGATATTAGTACATACATACTAACTAATGTATCTCCATTTTTGTGATTTCAATATTAATTCAACGTTAAACGAATGAAATATAAAGTTTGTATAAATATCTTGCACGTGTCGTTTGTTGCTCAACTAAAATGTAAAAAAAAAATAAATATAAAATTCAATGTATATGTAATTCGTATTTTTAATTCACACACGTAAAAAAAAACCGATTTGTCTAACCTAAACTTTTAACATTCGATGTGTATAACTATGTATAGATTCGTGCAACAATAATTTGAGTAATGAGATTTACACAATCTTTAAAAACGGTCTTGATTTTTCTGTCACAGAAATCTACGTCTGAATTTGTATAAAAAAAGAAAACTGTTTCAATGGATCCTTTACGTGAATGACAATTTGTTTATCTTCGGAGGAACGTGTCACCAACATACTGCTAAGTTGTCATATATATAACTCGAGTGCGAGACAACACAAACAAGAAACAATATGAAATCTAAGCAGATCGTTTACATAAGTGTGATTATATTTTTTTTTTTACCTGTTACAATATAACCTGTTAACTACCGTTTCTTTGCGTAATCACAAAACTAAATGTGTAACGCGCGATTGAAACTATTGTGACGGGCTTACGAAAAAGCTGTCAACGATTGCGCGATCTCATTCCATCCAAGATGATGATCTAACAAAGATCTAAAGCGATTACGCATATGCGCCTAGGTAGATTGTAAACGGTCGACGATACATATCGATGGTTCAAGTGATACGATACTCTCGATGTTCCTTTCGCGATTGACTCCTTCGCTTACGCGAAATTCATTCATGAAATCAAAGCTTTTTAAATCGAACATATCCTCTGAAATACGGATACAATGAGATACGACGAAAATTCTTATTATTAACAACGTATTTAAATTAACAGTAAATAAAAATAAAAATACACTGAATGTTGGTGAAATATTATTTCTATTAAAATACATTAGAACGTCTACATGTAATTTAATTAAACACTGTTATACATATTCATAAAAATTGTGATATCTTTATGAATCTCTTGCACTACGTACGACACATCCCTTCGAATTGCAGTGTACAAATTCAATTATAAAAATCAATGTTTTTGTTACGAAGAATTAAGGTTTCTATGTATAAAAAGTAACTATACGTCGATTTACACAAGTTGTAAAATTTGTATATCTTCATTGATATATTAAACTTATCACTTCGATGAAATGATATTGATTATTATAAAATCGAATAAACATTATTAAACTGAAAAAGATTTATCTAGACACGTAAGGCAGAACTGCTGAAATGCGTTCTAACAGCCTCAAATATATTATCTCTTTGTTGATATCTAACAAATGTCTCAATAATCAAATGTCTCTGCGTTTGTAGATTTATTCAAATGTCTGCCATCTGTAAAATCAAGCTTGTAAAAAATCATACACAGAATTTCCGCTTGTAAATACTTCCGTCTGATAGTACGATACATATGTCTCATCTCCATATTTTTATCCCTCACGGGTAAATATTCGCTGAACAGCTGTTCGTTAAGGATGTTTACTATCACTTTGGGATATGTTGCAAGTTTGGCTTCTGTCAATTTCCAACTGTAAGCTAATAAACGATAGTAGCCTAACGCCCAAAATGATTACTATCGTATAATTGTACACGTTACTAGAACGTAACCTTGATTATCTAGATTTTCAAGCGAGTACCATGGCTCAATGTAAGTTAACCCCCCGTGAGTTTATAAGTAATGCCTTTTCACCACAAATCGCTGTTATATGTTCAACCTCAGCTGATACTGTATGTCAAAAAAATAATTTATCATTCGTGGAACTTTTGCAACCGTTTTGTAAGCTAAATACCGAAGGTAAGAAATTGATCATTTTTCTTCATACATTTTTGCTACATCCATTGCTTGTTACACTCATTGCATTAGTAATTACAATAAAATCGAAATTTTTTATGATAAATAAAAAATATGTTACTATTTTGTTAAAATTTTAGCATTCAAATAGTCATGATCAATTTTTGATACTAGTAGTTTATGAGATTCTAAATGAACTGTGCTTCGTAACAAAGTAGTGTATTATGTGTAAATTCTAGAATTATATTATTATAAATTTTAATTTTTAATTATTTTATCTAATAAATCATATAACAATATATATATATTATTTACATTATTATAAAATATTAATAGGCTTACGTTTCATTTTCATAGGCCATTTTAAAGATCCACAAGGAAATACTATTAGTGTTAGAAATCTTCGTCTTTTTATACAAGATGTTAATGCACAGCCTCCAGAACCAAGCATTGCCAGAAAAATGTTAAATGAAGCAGTCAGTTCAGCTATGTGTGAACATACAACTACTGTTCAAATTGGAACAACAGAGCTTGATATACCAGTATCAGTTCCTTGGTTTGAAGCGTGGAGAGAAATGTTTCTGAGTGTACAATTTCCATCAGATCATGAATTCACAAAACATTTTCTTGCTTGTATGATAGTAGTTTCCACAGCAGAGGACAATCCTTTAGAAAAGATACAAAATATGGGTGCACAGTTACATCAAAATATACCTGGAAAATTGCCAAAATGGTTTAATAACAATACACTTAGATATTATATCTTACTACATGATACTTTACAAGATGATAGAAACAAGTATTTATCTGTTGTTTCATTGGTTTCTTATTCATTTAAATGTTATTCATAAAAATTAATTATTTATAATCTTTATAGGGCTGAAAAAGTTTTTACAGATATGAAAAATATTTATGGTGCTAATAATTGTTTTTTATTACAAATGAATTCAAGACCACCAGGTCAAGTTGATGACAATACTCATTTACCAGATCCTTGGAGTCAATTTTTAGTAAAACATTCAGAAGTATTAGGAGGTAGTGAACAAAATAGTTCTCCTCGTACACCTGTAGATACTAGTGGTGTTTCTTCTATGCCAAATGAAGTTACGACAGATACTGACAAGTATGCTTTTCTTGTATCTTTTAAAAGAGAGTTTATGAAATAATTGTGAATGTGTGTTTCGTATTTTAGAACAAGTCAGGCTGGAACACCAGTAGCTCCACAAAATTCTGTATTGGTTTCTCCAGATCTAAATGATAGCATTAGTTTCTCTTCTGAAATATCTGAATCAACAAATACACATTTAGAAGTTGGCCAGGAAGCTGTTTCTGTTACAATACATCCGCTGAGCCCAACAACTGAGAAATTAAAGAATTCTGCGTTACATGGGAAAGGACCAACAATCAGTGATAGTCCAATAAATATAAATGTTTGGGCAGATTCTCCTAGTTATGTAGCAACACAACATGGTGCTAGATTATCTACACAAGATCTTGAAAGACTACGAGCATTAATAACAGAGTTTTGTTTAAAAAGTTTATTACCTTACGTAGAAAAACAAATTGGTTTGCTGAACGACGTAATTTCAAATAAGAAAGGAAGATCACTTTTTAGTGCTACAAGACGATGGTTTGGAACAAATAAACCTGGCATACCAGGACCTACTTCATCAAATGCTGTAATGTATGTTTATTATTATCCATGTATAATTGTATCAGATAATGAAATAAATTATTGATATTAGATGTAATAAAAATAATATATAGCATAAATAATATAAATATATAAAGTTCCAGCTTGTTTGGGTTTCAGTTATACAACGGAATCACCAGAATTACAATTGCGTCGCTTAGGTGACCTGTGTTTTATGTTTGGTCATTATTCACTTGCTTATCAAACATATCATAGTGCGAAAAGAGATTTTGCAGCAGATCAAGCTTGGCTTTATTACGCAGGTGCTCTTGAAATGGCTGCTTTAAGTGCATTTATGCAAGGTGAAACTAATAGAAAGACTATCGAATATATGGATGATGCAATAGTAACCTATTCAACTAGTTGTAAAATGCCACAATTTGCAACAAGAGCAACATTGCTCAGTGCAGAATGTTTGAAAGGTAAAAGCTTATATGGGGAGGCCGCTAAACAATTGATTCGCATGACTAGTGAAGATTCGGATTTGCGTTCTGCTCTCTTGTTGGAACAAGCTGCCTATTGTTTTATTGGGCCAAAAATGATGCGCAAGTATGCATTTCACGCTGTTCTTGCTGGTCACCGATTTTCAAAAGCAGGTCAAAGAAAACATTCATTACGATGTTATCAACAAGCTTACCAGGTATTTTTAGTTAATTTTTAATTAAATTATTATTATACTAAATTATCTATTAATTATTCTTAGGTGTATAGTGGGAGAGGTTGGTCATTGGCTGAAGATCATATACATTTTACAATTGGTAGACAAGCTGCATCATTGAAACAAGTTAGTGAAGCAGTTAAAGCATTTGAGAAATTACTAAATGTTTCCAGTAAACAACCAGCTGCACAACAAGCTGCATTTTTACGTGAATTTTTACATATCCATAATGTATGTACATATAATATTAATATTAATTACACAATATTTTTCTATATATATATACTAACTGTCATATTAATTATATATTATAGCTATTGTTGCAAGAAGGTTTATCAAATCCTCAAGAGCTTCCTATTTTGCCTTTGCCATTAATAGATAGTAATAACATTAAAGTATTTCATGGCCCCATAGCTGAAACACACGAAAATAACATTCCTGCGAGTCATGTTTCATTTGATACGGAAGAATGTGATGATGTCAGATGGGCAAAAATGGAAGAAATGTTAATAACAGAAGCTCAGGGATCTCCTCCTATGATATTCAAACCTACAATTGCATTATACTCTAAAACAAGTAATAATAATGTAAAACCAAATGCAGTTTTAAATGAAGCAGTGCATTTTTTTATTGAATTATATAATCCGTTACATATACCGCTACCATTGTCTAACGTGACTTTATTATGGTCATTTATTTCCGTCAATGGACAAGTTACAAACGAAATGAGATCAGCAGAAGATCTAAAGCTAGTTGAAACACAAGTAATTGAAAAGATCATTTTACAATCAGCGTCTAAACAAAATATTACATTGTGTCTTATACCAAAAGAAGTAGGAGAATTAAAAGTATTAGGTTTGAGTTATAATTTATCTAATCCAACTCATGTAATTGATCCACCAGTTGTTAATCCAACAATAGCTATTACTGGAAAAAGATTGTTTGAAATTAGGGGACCTAGATTAAAAAATATTAAAGAAAAATCTGGTACAAATATGTATGGTGCAGATCATAGATTAGAAATGAATATTATTGAAAAAGCTCCTTTTATGCAGGTATTTAATTTTTCAATACAATTATATTTAACTAAATTTAATACTTGTAATTTAATACTTGTAACAAAAATTTATTTTTAGGTTTTCTTTAGTAAATTGTTCTCAAGAATGTTATGTGGTGAAATTCAAAAAATAGATGTCACGCTAAAAAATGTGGGTAATTCACCACTGTCAAATATTTATTTGGCATCTACAGATGCTAAACTTTTCTCATTAGGAGATGAAGGTACAATACAACTCTTATTATATTTAATGATTGAAATTGATTCATTAAGAACAATATTATATTAATATTTTATTTATGATTTCAGAACACATGGCAAAAAGAAGCAATAGGCTTATATTAAAGATTCCATTATCTTCTAATAACGATGTATTAAATGTTGGAGAAACACATACGATACCATTTTGGATTCGCGCACCTCATGAAAAAGGAATTCATTCTTTAGATTTACTATTTTACTATGAAAATACAGATTTGAAAAGCGTGATAAAACATCGACTTTGTAGACATACTTGGCATTTTACAGTTTTAGATTCTATACAAATAAGCGCGATTGCTTCAAGAAGTCTATTATTTAAAGATATTTCACCTACATTAAATTTAATAATTTGCATTAAAAATGCAAGTCAAGTTCATGATTTAATTACGAACGAAATTTTATTGTCTACGGTATTGTTTGAAAGTGATGTTTGGTCTGTATTTATTTCATCGGTTTTATCAACAAATATTAAACTACAATCTCAAGAAATGTTTCATTTAATGTTAAAATTAAAGAAAAAAGATAAAAATGAATCGAAGTTCTCTAATGTATCTTTAACTCAAGAAAATGAATGTATTGAGTCAGATGCAAATTATCCATACATCAATTTTATACAAAGAAAGGATATTCCATCATTAGACATTAATGAAAATATAACCGAAGTGCAACAACAAACTCAACGATTACTACAAAATGAAGAACAAAAGCCTTTGTCTGCTACTATGGCATTAAATTCTACATTAATTCTTAAATGGCGAGCGAAAATAATTGAAAATGGAATTATTACAAGGCAAGCAATTGGTCAACATCATCTTGACATACAATATTTGAATAAAACGTATAAATATCCTAAAGAAATTCAAGTTGAATCAAACGAATATTCTGGACGTTTGAAAATCTTTGGTCCAGACAGAAACGTATTCGATTCTTCGGCTGTGACGAATAAGGAACAAGTATCAGAAACAGAATTTTTGAAAAATATAATTTCATTTTCTTTAAGCCATGATAGAGTGATTACGCATAATTTCAATCAAAATCGATTGTGTTTCATTCCGGTAATAATGTACATACAGAATCATTTAGAATCGCAAATTGATATTAAAATTAATACAATAGGAACTAGCAGGTAAATATTATTAAAAGTAATTTCAAAATCTTTTATATTCATACTATAATTTATTTTATGTCATTTCAGTGAAAGTCATCTTCCAAATATAAAATCACAATTGTTTTCTCCACAAGCTTCTGCGTACTATAGATATGCTTGTCATTCAGCAATTTGTTCTCACGTAGAACCACTTATGAATAGTACTGTGAACTTACAGGCTGTACTTCCAGCTCCTGGAACATATGACTTAGCAGCACGTGTAGAAGTTTCTGCAAGAATTGTAAATACTAGAGAATTCATCTTGCAGAAATGGAAAATGGAAAGCATATGTATTATTAATGATGGTAGTAAATAATTTAAAAATATAGAGATATTATTATTATTATTAATAGAATTACTACTACTATTAAATAATGTAATAAATTTTGTTTATGTAATTTAAAATCACTCCTCCATACTATGTAAATATATATAGTATTCATTTAATTATTGTTGATATTTTTGTGAAAATGGATATATATTATTTAATATGTATTTCACTGTTTAATCCTTCAGGGATGACGTTTAATGTTGATGATTTAAACTTTTTAATAATTTCCATAAATTAAAGTTATAATTTTTTATTATTTTATAATTTTATGGTCATATGTTAATTTCATTCATATACATAATTATGAAATTTTGTAATAACTTCTAACGTCGTATGGGAGTTAGTACAATTTATAGACGTCGTTCTGTTGAAGGATTAATGAATAAATTTTTTCAATATACTAATTGTTTGTTACAGTATACATTATAACAATTATTTCAAAAGAAATAATAGTCTGTGAAATTTTGTAAATTACATTCTTATAAATTAATACATTGAACGTGTTACATATAAAAATATGCTCAGTTGTTTGCATAAATGTTGAAACTATAACAGGAAAATTGTAACATATTTTTTGGACCAGCATTTCATATTTTTTAAATTAAAATAAGGAAGAAATTGTATAGACTTAGTCGCGGAATGCTGTAAAAGATGAATAATTATAAATAAACAATACATTTCCTACAACAAAAATTAACGTCCTTATATGAGAATATATAATAACGTATCTTAATAAATCTATAAAGTAATACTGTAATTAAATTATTAAAATAAATGTTTTAAAAATAATAATGTTATGAACTTACTACATCGTAGAATTAACGATTTCATTTCATACTTTAATAATAAATAATCCAGAATAGATTTTTAAATGATTATATTATATACACGATAACATGTTATATAAATATTACATAATTCCACAAGAAACTTTTATACAAATAAATAATAACGCAAAGAAATACAATAAATTTTAGTAAAATACATATCAAGTACGTATTTATGGCAATTATATATATGTATGTAATTCGCACCCATATATTTAACAAAAATAATCATATAATATTATGCATAACATACTTTACAATTTGTATAATACATTACAATAAAAAAATTTCAGTATTAATATATTTTGATTTGAATATTGAATTTTCCTGTTGATAATGCATAAATATATATACCACAAAATTTTTTTTAAATTAATATTCCAATAATTATTTTTTCGTGTATATACTCCTCCATTTGTATAAAAGTTATAAATTGTTTTTATTTTATAGTCTTTTATCTTATGTATTGTAATGTGTAAAATTTTAATTAATATTAATATTTCAATACGATTTTGAAAAAACAATTTGTATATAGTATGATTAATATTTTTGCATGAAAATAATCTCTTTTTAAATATCATACTTATATAATTTGTACATTTATTCATACTTTAATTTTGGTTTTCACTACGCTGATTTCCATATGCATATTGCTAAATTCCCAGCGCAGTACATATACAGTAGATGTTTAAGTTGATAAGTTATTTCAAATCCATAGCCTTCGCCAACGACTGTATGCCAAGACGCACCGAATTTTTTGTCCATTGTCTCTTTAATCATGCGAGAAACGCTTTCGTAATTGTCCGCATATTTTTCTGCAGCAGTGACGCATAATTCCATTGCTTCTTGTTTCATTTCGTCCGACATATCACACTTCTAAAATATACTCGATAAATGTAAGTATGTAATAATATGTCTAAAATAATTTTGAAAAATAAAATAATTTAGAAAACACTTAAACTATTTACTAATAGAAGACATTTTATTTTCACGCAAAGATGATATGTAACACGAGTAGAATTTTTTGATTTAAATATTTTATTTTAAATATCTCAAAATAACAGTGCGTATGATGTTAAAATAATTGTAATAACAAAAAATATTAATATTTAATAGAAAATTTAATAAAATTAAGCTGCAGATATTATTTTTCGGATAATGACCTTCTTATATTGATCAAATACTATTGATAAAAGAAACCAGACTTATTTCTTTTCAATATATTTTACGATACAAAATACGTACATAAGTAATATTTTACTTACTCTACAAAGTGGATACGTATGTAATATTTTAACAACATCATCTTTCTTTACTTCAGTCATTTTTGAATGAAAATTTCATAAAAACCGTATTAAGTGCTATTCTTCTTCAAAAGACAGTGAGGATATTGCCATCTTACAGGCGCACACTTACCCCTAAACCATGCACAATGTGGTAGGAAAAATATGGTGGTATAAAGTACATACACCTCCGTAGATTAGGTTTGACCAATTTCATACATACTGATTACGTAAAAAGAAATTACTTCTGAGATACCAAAATATTATATGACTAAGAAGGCATAATGTGGAAATATTTTCAATAAAAAATTGATATTCAGATTTAAATGAAACCTGGAAACTTTTGCGACATAAAAATTATTTTTTGTTATTTAGACAATAATATGTAATGAATTAACATAATTATTAATTTTAGCATCTAGGAATGATATATTCTAGCATAATATATCTCTTTATGTATTATTAATATATTCTTTATGTATTCATATAAAATATAGAACATAATAAAAACTAGTGTTTGAATAAATATTTTTATGACCGTCTTTATATTTCATTATTGTCGCATGTTTAAATGAATTTAAACGAAAGAATATTTTTCGTAATAGAAAAATGTATTTTAAGCAATTTGAAATTTGTAATATTTTCAATATTTTCAAATATAGCTAACAAAAAGTGTATGTCATTGTTGTCATAGATCGCTATTTAATTGTGAATTAAACATAGGAATGGAATACAATTAGAAAATATTATTTTGTAAGTTTGTAAAATGCTAAGAATGTTTTGTTAAATATACGAATATTTATGACAATCAGTAATTTTTATTTGAGTATAAATAGATAAGATTCGAAATCAATGTACCAATTAAAAAGCCATCAATAATTGTAAAAGAATTTTTTTGAAACTTAAGAGATTAATACATTTGACTAGAATCTTTGTTTTGTCATTTTAATGTTAAATAATTGTATTTAATAAAATTTAAATACACTTTTTTATTTGATAGCTGGAAGTGAGGTTATGTTTACAACCGAATAAATTAATTATTAAACAAAACAGAGTTAATATTTCTTATATAATTTAATAGTATAATATTGAAATTATGAATTAATGAAATTGAAATTATTAATGTTTGTTAATATTTTATAATTGATTTTATATGTATATATATAATAAATACTTACATCGATTGTTTTATATCCTTTTGAAGAATATGTTAAATTTAAGTACTAATTAATAATTTTTGTAATAATTCAAATTTAAATGTTCTTTCCAGATAAAATGACATCGCGATTTAGTGGAGCATTACAAATTACAAATTTAGATGACTTCATTACACCTTCTCAGGTATTTTCATTATTCTTTTTTATTTAAATAATAATAATAAATTGTACAAAGCTTTTTTTAATAGGAGTGTATCAAACCTATAGAAATCCAAAAGTCGAAAAGTAAAACTGGTGCAAAAATAAAGATTGAAGAAGATGGAACACCTTTTGTATTAAATGAGGTATTATATATATATATATTTATTAAGCTCTTAAACTAAAATCATAAATAATTTTATACCTTATTTTTTACATGTTCATTAGGTTGGTCAATCAGAAAAATTACAAAAAGTTGAAATCACACTTACTGATTGTTTAGCTTGTAGTGGTTGTATTACATCTGCTGAGACTGTGTTAATTACACAGCAAAGTCAAGAAGAATTAATGCGAGTATTTAGAGAAAAGATTTCTCAGTGTGAGGTAATATTTATTAACGTAGTATTTATTTTTACATTAGACGTTATAAACATACTGTAACAAAACATACCAAATTTATCTATTTTATATATATTTTACAGAGTAAAAATGGTATATATTCAACATATATTGCAGTCAGTCTTTCAGTGCAAGCAGTACTATCCATAGCAGAACGTTATAGTCTTGATCCAGAACGAGCACTAAATAAACTTGCTGGATACTTTTATCAACTAGGAGCAGATATAGTTTTAGATATGACTGTCGCTGATGATTTTGCTCTTTTAGAGTCTGCTAAAGAATTTATAGAACGTTACAAAGCAGCTAAAGGGGGTGCAGTAAATCAATTACCCATGTTGTCTTCTTCTTGTCCAGGTAATTAATACTACAATTACCTTGCGCATATAATGCAATAAAGATAAAATAATTAATGTTTGATAAGTATAGGGTGGGTGTGCTATGCTGAAAAGACACATGGTAATTTTATACTTCCATATATAAGTGTTACAAAATCTCCACAACAAATTATGGGATCATTAGTTAAATATCATTTAACTGAAACTATGGGCCTTTTACCAGAACAAGTTTATCATGTCACTGTTATGCCTTGTTATGATAAAAAATTGGAAGCATCTAGGGAAGATTTTTATAATTATGAAAGAAAATCTAGAGATGTGGATTGTGTTATAACTCCAAGTAAGTATTTAAGACTTTACACATGCGCATTGTATTTACTTAAATTTTATTTTTTTCTAGTTGAATTAGAACAAATGTTTAATGAACACAACGTGTCATTAAATGAAATAAATGAAAAAGAAGTTGGAAAATTAGTTGAATCACAAATGATAGATTTTAAAAATAATTTATGTGGCCATAGTGGTTCAGGATCTGGGGGTTACGCCGAATTTATTCTTCGTTTCGCTGCAAGACATTTGTTTGATGAAACAGATGTAACAGTTGAATTTAAAAATCTCAGAAATCCTGATTTTCAAGAAGCAGTCTTTCAAAAAGATGGTCAGACATTATTGACATTTGCAATTGCTAATGGATTTAGAAATATACAAAATCTAGTACAAAAATTGAAACGTGGGAAGTGCCCGTACGATTATGTTGAAGTTATGGCGTGTCCTTCTGGTAAGTTTTATTTGGACAATAGTACAACATTAACATATTTTTATTGTAAATTTTAATTTAATTACTAGGATGTCTTAATGGAGGTGCACAAATTAGACCTCTGAATAATATTCAACCACGTGAACTGGCGTCAAAGCTAGAATCTATGTATCAGGAACTTCCTCAGAGCAATCCTGAACAAAATTCACTAGTGCAAAATTTGTATAAAAATTGGTTAGAAGGAGAATATACAGATAAAGCTTTAGCATATTTTCATACACAGTATCATGAAATAAAGAAAATAGATACAGCTCTCGCCATAAAGTGGTAATTATATTATCGTAATTATAATTTAGTACTATAAAGAAATGTTTCGTTTTAATTAAACTTATTTAATTAAATATAAGATGTAATAATAAAATATTTGTTATTTAAACAACAAATTTATTAAATATAGCTATTTCACAAGATTGAAACATATAGTATAATGAACAAAAACTATGTCTTATTACAAAATAATAATTATATAACTAAGTTTTTAAATATGTTGTTAAAATGTACAGTAAATATAAAAAGTTACATACACTGTATACCAACTAATTTTTATCATATTTGTATTGCAATATATATATTGAAAGTATAAAAGATTGTCTTTTATAGTTGTTCACATTGTTCAATTGAATAAGCTAGTATGACTAGTAACAGAAATTTTCTTATTAAGAAAAAATAAAATTTTTCAGGAAAATATACTAGAGTATAATTTTTTTCTAATAGTGCAGGAATATCATAATTCTATATTCTGTAGTTTATTTATTCATAGAATAATAAATTAACTTCATCATTAAATATTAATTAAACAAGACAAGATATTTCAATGAAACAATCCATTAACTTAAGATAATGTACTTTAAGTAATACTGATAATTTAAAAAAAATATAAGTGTTGTAAATACTAAATTAATATAAGAAATTTTAATTTCATAAATGCAAATGATTGTACATAAAATATGCATAAAATAAATAACAATATATATACACATATATTAATTTATCATAATAACAATATATAAAAAATCTATATAAATATTAATAATTGGCAACATATTATGCATTCATAATTGAGCCATCACTTATCTTTTATCATGCTAAGATTTTTTTCATTTTTATAAAAATATGACGAACATAATCACATATTTTAAACAAATAGTGTTGACTTAAATATAATAAAAATAGTTACATTCTTTTCTCTTGTGCAAGAAAGTTTGTATGTAACATTTATAATCTTTTACTTCTCTTTTCAATTCCTTAAACATAGAACTTTATTTATTAATGGACTATTGTCACTTTAATTTTTAATTTATTTTGGCCTGAAGCATTGAATACATAGATTAAGTAAATTAAAAAAGCTTTAATTACCTAGAATTTTTATTATCTAAGGATTTTTCATTTTCATTCATTTCTGTAGATCCATCTTTTTTCAAATTCATCTCCATATAACCATCTTCAATATATGTGATAGTATCATGATCTGCATTAATGCCTTCTTTATTTGCGTATGTATTTATCAGCCATCCTTGATTATTATCTATCTCTTTTGATACAACAAGAAATAATTCCTTTTCCTTACTATCTATCTGGTCCTTCAGATATACAAGTAAATCATTTTCCTGATAATATTTAAAATAACAAGTTAATATAATATTTATTATACAATAAGTACTTATCAGGATATTTACAAACATTCAAGAATAAAAAATTAACTGACTTTCCCAATAAGCTGAGGAGAATCAAGTTTTGAATCAAGATTATAAAAGGCACCATGAATTTTCTTCAGGGCAATCCAATGTCGTCTTTTCAAGGGAAGTAATACAAATCCCAATTTATATTCTGTTGGTACATTTAATATAAAACCTTCAATGTTATCTAAACACAGACATTTTGGATCTCTAAGAAAAAAATTTCATAAATGTATATATATATGTATATATATATACAAAAATCATTTCGTAATCAAGTGTTAATGTATCATTAATATTATTAAACTGAACAAACCTGCGTTTATCAAACCAAACTGCTTCACGTCCTCTTCGTTGTAGTGCTGCCATGATAACATTAATATCATAGTTACCAAGTCCTAACAGCGATTTATGAGGATTAATCCATACATCTGGACTTAGACTATAACAAATTTGATCTAATTCTTGTTTACTAAAATCCCTTTCTTGAAACAAATTATTCAATGCATGTAACGCGCAAAGTTCTTTTACCTGCAAGAATAATAACATGCATATAATATCATGCATGTAAATATATAAGATTAATAATTACACATATGTGTATAACATATTTTATTTTTGTTGCTTAATTATAAACTAAAAACATAAAATATTTGATAATTACTTGTCTTTCATGATATATGGATCCAGTCATATCTGTTGTGTTTGCAACCATTTTATTTACATAATTTTTATTATATATTATGTTAACAATTTTATCAATTAATTTTTTGCATCCTTTGTTAACATTTGTTTATGTATAAAATTCAATATGTTTCACTATGTATTTAATTTATGTCGTATCGGTAACCTAATAATAATGTAATAACGTAATGAACAGAATTTGTTATTTATTTAAATCTTAGTAGTACTAGTCGCATTAAGTACTAAACAATTATTATCAAAACATACACACTTGGACAAGGAACAAATACTGTCACCTTAGAATACAACTGCAAAATACATTAAGGTTTGTATTTGATAAAATGAATGAATGTGTTATTTATTTACGTTTATTCATTACTGGTTTCCGACATATCTTAACAAGACGTTTACAATTACATGTTCCTTTTTTATTGGTAAACGCGAATAATCAACAGCAATACATAGTAGATATAAAAATGATTTGAACCTACTATCCTTGTTTAAACTAGTTTCTCGAAATGGTGATTGGATATTTCTGGACTATTGATATTTCACTAATATTAAATTTGTATTCTTTGAGACTTGTATTTCAAATAATCGATTTTTTATATAAACATTACGTGTTTACAATGTTAATAAAAGAATAATTAGTACATGTCGTAAAACATAATGTTACAAACATATTTTTGCCGATCTGTAAAGTTTATCATACTCTATGACTAAGTCGAATCAGCGTTACGTCTAATTTTACGTAATCTTTGTTTTGAAATGGTAAAAATAAGCAAATGTTGCCGGATAAACATTAAATGATCAGCTAATAAAAATAATAGATAAAATTTGAAATATTTCAACTAATTCCTGTTTTCACGAAAAATTATATTTTATATTATTTTTAAATAGCATATTTTTATCGAATTTAGAATGGAAATTGATTATAAACTTGTAAGAGAAATAGAATGTAAACAAGGAGCTGTCAGAGCTGTACGATTTAGTGGTACGTAATTTGCTCGTAGTTTTTATTTAGTGATATTGATTTCTTTTTATCATTAAATTGTGTTAATTTATACTTAATATCTTTTTAGTTGATGGTGCTTATTGTTTAACTTGTGGAGCTGACAGAAAATTGAAGTTATGGAATCCTTACAGGGGTGTTTGTTTGAAAGTATATGGAGGACATGGAGATGAAGTAATGGATGCTAATGCATCATGTGATAGCAGTCAGATAGTGTCTTGTGGATTGGATAAATCGGTTATCCTTTGGGATGTAGCAACTGGAACACCAGTTCGACGTTTAAGGGGTCATGCAGGACCTGTTAATACTGTAAGGTATATTATTAAAAATTGACACATGTACATTCTGGCATAATATTTTCTTTATATAAATACGTTTTTTTATAATATTAGAGTCAATGAAGAATTTGTTATCTTTCTAATGTCAGATTCAACGAAGAATCTTCTATGGTTGTTTCTGGATCCAGAGATAACTTGGTTATGTTATGGGATGTGAAATCTAAAGCACTGGAACCTGTGCAATGTTTGAATGATGCTAAAGATTCTGTTTCTAGTGTTAGGGTATCAGATCATGAAATTCTAACAGCCTCATTTGATGGGAAAATACGCAGATATGATATTCGTGTAGGTGAATTATATACTGACTACATGGGAGGTTAGTTAATAATGTTAGTTAATGATGAACAAAATGAAATAAAAGTGCATTAAGTCACCAATAAATGTATTATTATAGACGCAGTAACCTGCGCCAGTTTCACAAGAGATGGTCAATGCGTAGTTGTTAGTTGTGCTGATGGTGTGGTTAGATTAATAGACAAAGATTCGGGAGAATTGCTTGGGGAATTTGCTGGTCACATGGCAAACAATTTGTGCTTAGAATCAAGTGTTGACACTCAAGATACTTGTATTATTTCTGGATCTGCAGATGGGAAATTATGGATATGGGATTTAGTGTCTCAAAAAGTAGTTGCAAAACTCTCAGGATTCAAACCAACGAAACATCCGACAGTGTCATTAAGTGTTCATCCGCAAACAAACTGTTTCTTAGCTACCAACGGACCAAATGTATTAATGTGGAGCACCGCATCGGGGCAAGAGTAATACTAAGAGGACCAAGTTTGTGTTTCATTGTTTTTGTACATATCATTTTGAATGTTATCACGTCAGAGATTATAATTATGATATACTGTCGTTGATATACTATTTAACATCAAATAAAAAAATGTCCAAGGAACGTTGTGTTTATATTATCCACGATATTGATGTCTCGCAATCACCAAAGCTCGATAGATACGAAGTTGATAAAACGAATGTGAACTTTTGATTATTGAATTTTTCTTCGTGGAGTGTCGTTGCGATTGTGTCGCACAGGTACATATCTTTCACCTGCTTATTAAACAGATAGGATGTAGGTTAGATTAAGCTGGGTCACGATTCACGATATACAGTTAAAGAAACAGGCTACGAGCTATGGAGTTAGGCACATAGCGTAACTTTAGCAGAAACGAGAGAGAGAGAGAAGCGAGGGGAGAGAGAGAGAGAGAGAGAGAGAGAGAAGCGATGAGAGGACGAACGAGAGGGAATTAGTTGCGCGCGCAGGTGGCGCGATACCGGTGCGTCAGAATCCAGTGGTCGTCACCGTCTCGCCCGGGAGAGGGAAAGAAAAAGAGAGAAAGAGAGAACAGTTTTACAGTGCAAAGTGAAATAGAATATCTGCGCAAGAGGAAGAAAGTACAACGGGCTGGCATAGCGAATGCAAAAGACAGAAAGGAAAGAAGGAGCAAGAGATATACAACGAGAGAACACGGAGGTGCTTGCACACGGGGCGGGCCTGCCAGTCTCAACCACTTCGTGGAGTGCACTTTTTATTCTGTACTCGAGCACGCAACCACTCTGAATTGTTAGGCTGTTTGCATATATACATATACACACACACACACACATACATATATATATATATGATTGAAAATCTGTGACTTGCCCAATGCATAGTTCGACCGCGTGGTCTTACCAGATTTTGCTGGTAGTCAGTCAGTATATACACCGTGAGTGAGGATTGTTGTTGTTGTTGATCGATCTCTCCGGCTTGCCGGCTGTCAAAGTCATCATTTTGGAGGAGGGAAAGGGATCGTGACACAGAACAACAACGAACGGGAAACTACGTTCGAAATATTTCGGTGTTAGTGTTGGCAGTGTTGGAGAGTGGTGGTGGAAAAAGACGATGGAGAGACCGGGTGTGCAACGAAAGAGGGTTGTTATGGGGCGAAGCTGTCGTCTGCTTGCACTTTCGCCGCTGTACTTGCTGACTGTGTTCGGCTTTCTCGCAGCGGTTGATGCTTTCTCTGCTGACAGTAAGTTTCATTTCTTGATCTTTGCCCATTCCAGTAAGAAATAAGTTCAAACGTCAATATGAAAAATGTTTGCAATTGAAAATGTATAAATGTATTGTATCGTTGATTGACAAAACACGTATGTATATGAGTATGTGCCATGCGCCGATGTCGCTTACATAATCGACATTGTTCGTATATATTTCCGATGAAAATTTGTATAAATCGGCCCGACGTAGACGTAGAGAGAGAAGAGGGGTGGGCGATGTAAGAAATGTATCTGACATATAATTCGGTGAAATGATCTTTGTGAAAGGGATGCTGGTGGTGTGAAAGCGCTTGATCTGAAAATGGGTGAAGATCGCGATAGATGGAAGCACGTGAAGATTTTTACCACATCGTGTTTCACATTTCACAATTGTTTATTTTTTTCTTTTTTTTTGTTTATTTATACAAAATGTTCAGCTTTTAATATTGATTATATTCAGCGAGCAATAGATCTTTTTTTTTTTTTTTTTTTAGGAAAACGGTTTTCTTTAGAAACAACATTAAAAACAATTCTTCGCGGTAATTTAATGACAATATATTAATATTGCCACTTTTTTAATAAATTGAATAATTTTGATTTATCGATTTAATAATTGTAATACAGTTTCGACATAACGCGAATATGGTTGCAACGTTAAAACAGATTAGAAGTGAAGTTTTTGTTTAAATGTATTTATAATTTTTATGGTAATGTCTTGTTGTCTATAACAATATCGTAAAAAGCAAAGTAAAGTTATCGACACGTGTTTCATTTTATAATTTAACTATGCATTTTTATCGATTTTACTGTAGTATTTAAAATTCCAAAAGAAATATGAAAGAAATATTCAGCTAAATATTCAATATTGCTTCAGGAAGTTGTACAATTTTAACGTGAATAACGTAGATATTAATTTTTGAAATAACTACAAGTCAGGAATGAATCGAACCTTAATTTGAAAAAATTACAAAATATTATAATTATAACTATAATAACTATATTATAACTATAATATAAAATTATATTACTAGTATATTCATAATTCTTCCTTTCATCAAAGAATCATTTAGTATTATTGGGTTTGGTACATTTCTATTTCTCAGCTATTTTTATATATTTTCAATAGTTCTGTAAAAAGATAATAATTAATAGTAGCATTGATGATGCAATGAATTCTTTTTCATACATCAAATATCGAATTTGAAGATAACATCATCATAAATATACGCGTGTGATGATGAATTAAAATAACGACTGTTTATAAATAAAAATAAAACGAGAGTTGCAGAAACATTTGATCGTTGTTATGTTTTTGCAACAAATGTGCAAACATATTTTCACTTTATTTTCTTACATTATAATGTAATTCGATGATTTCTTCTTTTTCTTCTAAAAAAAAAAAAAGAATAATTGTTACAAAATAAGTATATAAAAAAAGATTGAGAGTAAAGTTATTGATACTGGAAAATGTGTACAAACGAAAATACGAAGGAAATGAGACAAATTCATGCCCCGACATAATGAATGAATATTGTTACGTTCTTAATAATTTAAACAGAGAAACGAGACTTAATTACCGCGATTATGCCGGAAAGGCGTTATACATATTCAAATTAGCTTTGTTTTTTATTCATTGTTTGCTCTTTGAACATTGTTAATTGTTAAGCAGGAAAAAAAAAAGAAAGAAACGAGTTGTCAATTTGATAGACGTTCAAAACGTGTTCTATCATTTTATTGCCAACGTCACTGTCGAGTAGAAGTTCTGTTTTAATAGCGAAACAATTATTTTTACGCGCTTACGATCACAGAGTTGTCACTTTAAGTGGTCACATTCGTTTCGGGTTTCGATGAAAAATATTGTAAATATATATTTCTCGGTTTGATGACGTTTGACGAAAGTTTTACACCGAAATTGCTCTTTATAAAATGTAATGTTGAAGTGATTCTCTTCTGTTTAAATTTTGGCTGTCAATTTTGTAACTAGGCTATAATTTGTAGAATTTTCTAGCTTGTTGTTAATATTGGGCTGTAAATTATGGCTCGTAAAAATGGCTCGATATTAATGTATTAATTTGATCGTGATATATTAAAACGGGTCGGAAATTTGTATAGATTTGAAAGAAATCATTTTGGAAAGATTTAAGAAGATTTTTAAGGGATTTAGAATTGCATCTCGTTTAGAGATCGAAAATCCTAATGTAGGTTTTGATAATATAATTTTGCAATAATGCAAACGATATTCATAAGAGTAATAATATATTAAATATCTTATCGCTAGGTTGCGTTTGATATTTTATTAACTAACCCGAGTGCCAGTCTTTAATTAGGATCATTGTGCATTTATGTTTGACGATATTTCAATACTAATCCAGCTACAACGATAACGCCATTGAATCGAAATAATACGAAATTTTCTGTCAAATGCGTCGATTGCTTGTACAGTTACAAGCAAAATTGGATACGTACGCGAATTATTGGACAAATTTTGGACAAATATTCCAAAGGATTCAGTAGATGATAATCGAGAGTAATTCTCGCGCGTTAATTTCTGGGAAACGAGGTGTAAATTCGTTTCTTGAAATTCTCTTGCAAAGTCAATTTATTAGTTCTATTTGAAGATTACAGCGGGAGATGCGGGAATGACAAGTCACATTTTCTAATTTTGCAAAAGGGAAATTTGAAAATTCAGTACACACCATGAATCGTATCTTATCAAAATTGTCTTTCGATTTAATTTTAAGGATAAACGTACATTTTCTCATTTTCTTCATAATTTTTAAATTATCATTACAACGTTGCTTCTTTGTAGCTCTGTCATTTATTTGACAATCTATTTTATTAACCTATAAATTAGAAGAATTTTCCTTGTGCTTTCAATCTCATATTTTTAATTAATTTAATTATTATTATTAATTATATTTTAATTATATATTTAATTATGTAATTATATATTAATATATTTTAATTAATTTAATTATATCGTATCAATTCTCATAGCGTCGAAATATGTATAATATCCTCAGTGCTGACGATGTTATTCGGCACTATAAGAATTAAAATATTCCGTTTTAGCCATAAAGGCATTAAAATGAAACTCAATGGAATTATAACTATTTATCAGATTTCTCTCCTGTAATCTTCATTTATGGAAGGAGAAAATGTATGTGACGAAAGAAAAAAAGCAGCGTGCGACACATAACGCGATACGTGAATCCTGTTGACGCGAAATTATAATAAAAGTGACGTCGATATTGTTTGCGCGTTCTTATAGTACAGAACACATCACGCGTTTCTAATCTTCTTCCTTTCATTTTTTTTTCTTTTTTCATTCATTCACATGATTCTCCTTTTTGTTTGTTTTTTCTTTTTTTTTCGATTTGCATGCTTTTCGAAACACTGGTTTTCTCAACACAGCGGCATTTCATTTTTCCCACCTTTATTTTGCTTCAGGCAAGCCTTGCCCTTTAAGGCAATTTCAATGTGCGAATGGTAGATGTATACCGAATCCGTGGGTCTGCGACTTAATGGACGACTGCGGAGACAATTCCGACGAGACCACCAAGAAATGCGAAGGTGAGCGATCACGCGGACATTCAAATATATATGTTTATCGCGTGTACGAAAAATGAATCGAACAATGCGAAAGAAACAAAAAAAAAAAGAAAAAAAAAATGAATAAAATGCGACACTTGTGTTCTTTTATATTTCATTCTGATAATAACTGGCGTCCGATAATACTACAAAGACAGGTACTGTATCGATATACCTGATCTTAATCGTCGGTAGTTTCTCGTTTTTCGATTAGTCAAGTTACTCGAATTGAGGTAATTTCAAATACGAAGGGTTTGTAGCAATAAGAAGCCAGCTCCAACGGATAAATTGTATTTATCGGAAGAGAGAAAGAGAGAGAGAGAGAGAGAGAGAGAGAGAGAGAGAGAGAGAGAGAGAAAGATCTAGGTTTCATCGAAAGATCAAAGTGTTAGTTGATCTTTCAATTGAGTTTGTAACACGTGAGTGTAAAAAAAAAAAAAAAAAAAATTGGATCGATTTTAATTGATTTTCAATTGGCTCACTTCAATTAGTAGAAAGTGGGGCTGCTTTATTACAGCAATCCCCTGCGTGAATTTACCCCCAGCTGAACCTGATGTTTGTTCGTTTGATTGGAAACATTCTTCCCGGATTGTCCTTCATTGGCTCAGTCGTTTGAATTCGAGTTTTAATCGTTTTAACAAGGTGAATCGTTTCGTTTTACTTGACTTGCCGGCGCGCCTACCCCAAGTTTCAAAGGGAGCTTGCGATTCGCCAAACTTGTTCCTGAAGGGAACGAGCTATTGTTTCGTTCTTGCCGATACTGCTTCTCTAAATCGAATAGACATTTTTCGTCAACCGAGTCAAAAAACCTTTCTACAAACAATCGCCAAACGTTTCTAACACCTAACTTTTCACATTTGCACAAGAGACGAGACTTTCCTCTCCAGAGTCTCAGATGTCACTTCTTTGCACAAGTCGAAACCTACAGTTTTTTAAATCCTGCAACAATTCGCTTGCAATTTTGTTTTCTTTTCCTCATTTCGTTATTTCGTCACCACCTTCGATATCGCTCATCGACGAGTGTTCGTCGGTTGAAATTAGGTTGCTGTTGAATTGAAACGGTTTCGAGTCAAGTTATTTGAACTTCAGCGATCCGTACGTACTCGAGTGGATGGGCTAACTTTACGAACGAGGTAGTAGCGGATTTACGCATACACGCGTAATTGACGATTCCAAGTTTTGAACCAGGTCCAAGTCTTACGAGGTGCAATACAGGGTACTGTATCGTTCGTAGGCCTACTTTTCGCGATGTGTCATCTCATAGACGTGACATTGCTTGGCTGGGACGTTTTCGTGCAGCGGACAATGTGAAACAATGGGCGAGACGACAGTGGTACGCGTGATTTTCATTTGTTGTACGACGGTGTCAGGAAGTAAGCAGCTAAGAACGAGAAATAAAATCGTCTTCCTTGTTTTAACAATGAGAAAAGATTTATGTATTTATACTGGGACGCTTCATAAACTGAACATTGGATGTAGACACCAACGTCCTCCCGTGTCAGATAGATTTCTGACTGATTGTGAGACTTTTTAACCCTTTGAATTCGTACGTTCTGAAGGCGTACAAATTTGCTAGAAATAAGAATTTATAAATTAATAAATTAAATTAAATTTATTGATAAATTAATATTGATAAAGTTAAATTTAATAAGTAAATTGATATTAATAAAATTAAATTTAATAAAATAAAAAATAAAATAAAATAGAAAAATTAATAATTTATAAAAATTGTTCCAAAAATTATCACGCTTTAAAAAGTTATAAAATTATTAAAAAAATTGAATTTGTACAATATCGTGTATTGTTTCAATAAATATTGAAAACAAATCGGGTTCAAAGGGTTAATAGACCTCTATAAAACGATGCCCCGTGGATAGTGGACACCTCGGATTATTCAAGTTATTTGAATACAGATTGAAATCAGGTGATTTGGCTAGTGACAAAAAGGACAATGTAAACTCGAAAGGATGTTTCAAATAAAGTAGACAGCAAGGTAGAGGTTCAAGCGATTTCAAATTGTTTGAAAATTCGAGTGAGCTTGGGTAAATCGATTAATTTACTCGAGACTCAATGAACATTTCGTTACATCGTGTATAAATAACGTGTAATATTCTGCGCATAATATGCACAAGCAGTTTCTTCCCACCTCTATTTTTTTTTTTTTTTTTTTTTTTTTAATAAAACAAATCAAAATATAAAGAAAATTAATTTCATTAATTTTAAATTAACATGGTGTTATTTCTTTCAAACGTTCACCGCCAGAGCGTAACAAATTACGGATTCATTTTAGTAGGAAGTGAGATTTTTGGCCCACCCTGTAGACGATTTAACTATTGCATTGTAATTTCTCAATAGCTCGCGAGACGAAAGGTATATAAACAAAAAAGGTATTAGAAGATGGACCAACAACCGCGATATTTTCCATGGATCTTTGTGAAAAGTCGACCGTCGTACTCTCGTCGATCGAACGAAACACACGTTCGGCTCTCCGCTGAACAGCAAGCACGAAACCCGATTGGAAAATGCCATTGTTTCTTTATGTCTTGTAAAATCCTTTGATTCGAGAGCTCGCGAGATGAAATGTCCCCGAAATGAAATTTACCGCGACGGTGATTGTCGCGGCTGGCTGCGAGAACACATTTTACAATTTCAGTCTCCCGCTTCGATTCGGATCCTATCTTCGTTGTTCCCTTCTTGCAATTGAACGCGTCGCACGCGCGTGCGTGTTTATTAAACGAACTATTTAGCGGACAAACAAACCCTCTGTTACAATAGTTAATACAATGCGACACATGGTGATATATATCGTCACTGGGTAACGCGAAACTATATTTAAAGCAACGTTAAATATAGTGCTCCTTGGCGTGTGAAGCACGAGATTGTTTGCCAGGGATTAATCACCTTGTTAAATACCGTAATATCGTAATTTTGTAATTTGATCGTGCTCTTTGCTAAGCTTGAGAAATGTCGTCGAGTAATTTCTTTCAATATGATCAGTAATTATAAAATCGATGATCACATTAAAAAAAAAAAAAGAAAAAAAAATGGAACAAGTTGGCTTTTTCATTTTAAAATTGGATTTACACCAATTAGGAGAACACTTTGATTTGTCGTCGCACGCGCGATTTGCCGACGCAGATTTTTATTGGGTCGGTGGGAAATCGTCGATTTTTTTTTCTCCCCTCTCTTTCTTTTTTTTTTTTTTATCGCGTCAGAACAAACGATTTCGAATGGTTCACGCGTCGCTGTTTACGATATATTTAGATTATCATCTCTTTCGATATGCAGACGATTATTTAACTGGAAAATAAATTGGTTACGCGTTTGTTGTTGGTGCCTAGAAATATATTGGAGCACTTTGTCCAATCAATTGGATAAATTCAACGGGAGAATCGTATTAACCTATTTTGTTTTACTCCAAATCGGATGTGAAATATTTAGCGCGATTGCTAAAGGGTTGTGTGTTCTTTTTTAGTCGAGGTTCGACAGCTTTTACTTTTGATTTTTTGCTCCCTCGGACATTTTCAGACGGCAACTGACAGTTTAATTTAGCTGAGCAAATCAATCACGTGTCATCGATTACCTACACGTTGAAGGCAAATGAAAATTTGGTTTTTGATACGTTATGAGAGATGTAACGAAAGCGTGTAATAAAATCGTTAAAAATTATGAGTCTTAAAATGCAACGTCGCAGTACCTAAATAAATACATAGATACATTTATTTTTTCGCAAAATTAATTACTGGCTTCTCAAGTGAAAAATCCTACTCGAGACAATATTTTCGAATCTATTAGGTCATACTCTTTTCCAACTGTTTCGTATTAAACTACTTCCTTTCAGCTGTCGACAAGAAAGTCAGAGACAAAGGTAAAGACTCGCCATATTTTTATTATTCGTTTATTCAGAATTTAATAAAAAAATGTTGCCACCGATTAAAGAATCGTTAGGGTATCCACAACGCAGATCTATCAATTTGAATTTCGTCATTCGTCGGTCGAATAATTACGCCAGTGATAATGTAATTATTGAGTTTTACGATTCGGAAAATAAGTATCTGACACGTTGAGTTTATGCAACTTGAAACAGGAACAGCCGCGAGTCTAAAAGGAATGGAAAGAAAGAGATATCGAGATCAGGATGATAATTGCGATAATTTTACGAGTGTCTGATTATAGGCCTCGTTTGGAATTCCTATTAAATATATGTCGGATGATGGAAAAAGTTGACGTCCTTGTTAGCCCTGTGTGATTTTCTTTGTCCCGATACTAACTGGTAAGATGTAGGTTCCTGGTGATCTTGCGTCAGACAAGTTGAGCGTTTCTAATGCACTTTTTTCTTCTCGGTCTCGCCGAGAGTCTCCACGGGGGCATCGTTCTGATCGTTTTAGATCAGCTACCGTGAACACGTCGCGATGATTTCCTCTTAAACCCTTTAAGCGTTTCCGTCGAGCATGCTCGTCGTGAAAAGATGGAATTTTTTTTTTGTATACTCGTCGCGTAGAACAAAATTCGCTGTTGCTATTTAATGTAAAATTTAGGTAGATTTTGTTATATTTGGGTATATATATGTATATAATTTTAGCACATTTTGGAACATTTCAAGGCAACAAACGAATAAAATAATGGGAATTGTTGGGGGAAATCTGACGCAATCGATACGATGCAGAAATAAATTAAATTTATCCCTAATCATTTTAATTTTGCAAATATTTGATTTTTTTAATACTTTTTTTTATGAATGGACGAGAATTCAAGTTCTTTTCTCCATATTTTGAATTTTTAATGTTTTATTTTTTTTTTTTTTAATGGAATAATCTTCAAAAAATAAAATGTTGAGTTCTGCAAATACCGTAAATACCAATAAAATTAAAAATTTTTCAAAGAAACACCAAAGAAATTTATCATTTTGTTACAATTTAAGCATGTTCTCAAAATAAAACAAAAGGGGTTAAACGATCACGTTTAGAAACTCGACGAACTCG